GAAAGGCCTTTTAAAGACGTTGGATACATTTAATGGATACATTTAATGGATACATTTAATCTAATTGAAAAATTGAATGGAAAGTTATGAGTAAAGGAATAAAAGAAAGTGAATATGCGTCTATTTACATTTATATGTGTATATTGAAAAAAGACAAGATAAATTAAATATGAAAAAATATTCATACTTTGCAATGGGTCCTTCCGAGGATTTCTTGCACAGATGAGTTGGCTATAACCAACTTGATAGCCAACTGCATCATCAAGTTCTGGAAACGCGTTGTCTTCTGGCAGCAAGCTTTGATCTTGCGGCAGTTCAAAGAATTCGACCAATTTAGCCAATAAGCGAGGATAGTATGTATTATATGGAGCCTCAAGCATCGCGGGACAATCGATTAGTAAGTTTGAAATTCCGACAGCCACCACTTTTCGTTCTACTTCGCCCGATATTTTTTGTAGATCAGTTATAAACACGCGCTCTACTACCATTCCAAACATTCTAAATATAAAACATTTTACTATTATTTTCTATACCTTAAAAAAGATGTCTTTATGCATTTATAAAACTTACTGTGGCTGTATTTGGTCGATAATTGTAATCAAGCTCGACGATGAATATCTAATAATATAATATGCAAAAAATACTATTAGACCTTTCACAAACTTCGTTGTCTTTGACGTCGAGAGCCTTTGAAAGAAAAGCACAAAAACTTGTCTCATATACGGTTCCAAAATGCTCCTGCAACATTGGTATTACAAGTGTATTAACTGTTATAAATATGAAATATAATTAATAGTATAAAATAAAATTTTTTTTCTCGAGCATTCTTACGGTTCAAAGTGTTCAATAATGCTTTGTATTAATAAAAATCCCTCATGATCATTTGCTTTCGATGCAATTAGTTTCTGAAACACTCCTAATAGTGCACTCGTCTTATCCTGCGCCACAATCTGATTCGAGCCGTGACTAATGAATGCTTGTAATAAACGAATCAGAGGATGAATGTTGGCTTGACGTTCAAATAGTACAGGTGATAATAGGCACGGGAACAAAGCCATATATGGTTCCGGTATATCTTGAGTGAGTCGTAACTCCAAAAGTAATGCAAGAATTTGAAAAACATATGGAATAAACTCTAGAATAAAAAACAAAATAATATAAATATTGATTCACATGCAATTACAATTTGTGATATGTACGTACAATTATAAATAGCTTACCTGGTATATCTTGTTGCAAAATTCCTTGAAAAATGGGAAACAATGCTTGTTCGAAAGATCCTGTTGCTTCAGGATTTGTCTTGCAAACAATTCTACAAGTAAAAAATGCAAATTTTATGAAAAATATAAATCAGAAAATGTCAGATAAAAATAAAAAGGAAAATTTCAAATAAGCAAAGATTTTTTTGTATGAGTATTTTAATATCATTACATGTTAATGACTTACTTGATAGATAAACTTAAAGTTTCGAAGAGATAATGATTGAAGTTTGGTCGACTTGGATTCCGAGATACGATCGCGAGTTTCTCGGTGAGTTTCGGAAGTAAATCGGCTAAATATGGTACCACAGCTTCTTGTAAGATACCGAAACTCCTCATGATAGCCTTCATAACATATTCATTCTCCTCGGAACCCGAAATGTTCATACACGCAAAAAGTCCTTTCAATAAATTTGCTGCTAACGACGATATATCGACCCCTTTGACTCTATAAAATTTTAAAGGATTTTCAGTATTTAATTATATAAATTATTGATAATATTTAAGATATCATTTTTGTATTTCTTACATAGTCAAATTATCAACACCTCGCAATGCGAAAATCTTTTCAATCGCGCAAGCAGCATAAGTATGCACGACAATACTGCTGGCACTTAAATGTCTTATTAATTGCGGCAAACTTCCTATTACCATTTCATGAGGTAATATCGATCTAAATGTCATTATGAATTTTATTCCATCCGCTTTAAGTACTGGAAACTCATTTACTGAAATTTGTTATTATAATTCGTTACAATAAACCATATAGCTATATGTCTATGTAATTTAATTTGTTTAGCTTAATGGCTTTTACTTTATTTTGTTATTGAAAATTTAAGCTTTATTAACTAACAATTATATTCAATTATTAGTTAATAAAGCTTAAATTTTCAATAACAAAATAAAGTAAAAGCCATTAAGCTAAACAAATTAAATTACTAATTTAAAACATATGCATCATACCATTTGGTTTTGCTAGTTCAGGTTCAATATGTTGTGCAGCAAATTGTGGTATAGAGACAAGCTCGCTACTTTGAGTAACTCCATGTTTCTGCGTCTGTCCTTTACTTGCACTACTAGTAACGAGATAAATAGCAGCATCTTTACTACGCCAATGTTTCGACGAGTCTTCAGCATATTTTTGCAACATCACCTAAAAATGTGCAATTTTTTAAATGCGCATGTGTGAACACAAATCATAAAATGTAAATTAAATGTAAGTTAAAAATAAAATTACTTTTCTATTATATTCACCTGTATGTATGCTCCAAAGATATCCATAATCTTTGCTTCAAAATATTTAGATAGTACTTTAACTAAATCACAAGCAGCACGTCTCCTAGTGTCCACATCACTGCCTTCGATATCACGTCTAATATATTCTTCAGGATTATCCACGAATAATTCATTATCTGATTCTGCAAAATTTGAAGAAATTTAGTAAAATGAATTTATCATCATATTTACGCTATAGTTACCTCTAAATTCCATGTTAGGAATAATAACTTTTTCACAGATACTACTAAGAGTTGCCGGATCTTCAAACAAATGTCTATATTGCGCTCGATCAGCTACTGTCGCCAAGAATTGTAATGCATTCGACACTAACTATAATAATAATTCAGTATATCTAAATAAACTTTCCCTAAAAAAAGAATTCTCGACAAATATTAAACGTTACTCACAGCATCATATTTAGGATCTTGTCCTGTGGATGTAAGTAAATTCCAAATCGCCGTAACAAATAGAGGTAAGTAAGGTTGAAATTCTTCGTCATATTTTTGGGCATATAGGCCAACATTGTCACATACTTGTGACTTTAATTGTTCTATTACACCTGCTTCCTCTCCATCCTAACGGATTTAAAAGATTTCAATTTTACACTCAAATATATTAATAGTATATATAATTTTGAAAAATATAAATTACTGTAGTTTGCAAGGAAGGAACATCAACATGTAACAAAGTATGAAAATTTCTCATCCATGCCTCCATATTGTCTTCGAAAAATTCTGGCAGATCCTATGTTGATAATATAATTTGTAAAAATGATTCTTATTTTACAAATAAATACATATAAAAAAAATATACTTACTTGGAAGTTAAGAGAGTAGAAAACTTTACATAATATAACTAATGAATTATATATAACCTTCAAGGCTTCCATATTATTAGCATGTACTTGTGTTAAATTCATTGTAGCCTGCAAAGTATCTCATTTAGAAATTTACTTACGTTCAAAAATATATTTTTAATACAAGCAAAATAACTTATTAAATATACTTACTAAAAACAGATCTGTTAAAGGCTGTGCAAATTTATCTAATACAAATTTTATTTCTGTCCATAGGCTGTCACTTTTAAATTCGTATCTATATCTCTTAAATAAGGAATGCGCGGTATGTAGGACTCCATTGATTACATGGAAATCACCAGTATTGAACTTTTCTACCATCTGATCAATCAATTCCGGCCACTTATTCGGAAAATCATACTTTCCAATAATAGATACCGCATCCGACAACTGCTTTTGTATTGAATCTGGCGAATGTAACATCAGATTAACAATTAATTTCTTAACAGCATCTCTATCTTGGATATGTATACGATCCATCGTATCCTCTTCCTAAAACAGGAGTTATAATAAATAAAATTATAAATTAACTATACAACATAAGGACGATAAAGTGAATGAATACTAAAACCAACCACTTTCCAATTGCGCTTGACATAATTTTTAAACGCAACTGCACCAGCGACCCTAATTGTGATGTTAATTTCAGACTTATCTACTAAATGTAGTAACAATAAGGGGAAGTTCTGATTGATTTCTACCGATTCGAGGAACTTCTCGGCTGAAATATAAATCGGATATTAATGAATGGAATATATATGACGGTTGATGGAGTAAAAGACAATGAATTTGTAGGTTATACTGACCTGGACGTCTAACATTCACGTCGGGGCTGAGAGTGTGCTTCAAATACTCGCTCAACGTAACCAAATTGTCGTCAGTGAGATCCATGTCGATGATTAGCAATGCAACTCCTTTATCAGTTTCTTTTCAAGAGAAATAACACGGCGGCATCAGCAAAGAGACGAAAGAACAACGCCGCATATTATCATATGCGCACGTAACAACCGGCTTTTCTGGGCTTCTCGTTGCGGCAGGGTCAGCAGATTACAAATTCCAAGCATTGTTTTTTATTGGTTGTTGACTGGCGCTCTTGGCGCTCAGCAAATTTGGCGGGAATGCGATAACGGCTGCTTTACAATAAAACGTGAGTGTCCGATCGAGGCGTTTATCTACGTTTTCTCGTTGAAAAGTACCCGTAAAAAGAAAGAGAAACGTTACTTTGCGAAAAAGTCCAATTGGACTACGTTTCTCGATTAAAGCACTTCGAATGCTCCTGAATTTAGAAATCATTGCACTCAAATTACTGAGAAATACGTATTTATATTTTGGTTAATATATTTAATTATACAATTAATACTGATATTTTATAACTAATAAATGAACGTATATTAATTGATATCAATTTGTTAAGTTAAATTATTTAAAAATTATTGAATATGTATTTTATAAAATAGTATTTCTGAATTAATATTAATTAATTTTATGTAATAACTACATTTAATTTATACTTTCAAAATGTTTAAATCTATTTCTAATAAATAAAAAGGAGAAATGATCATATTCAAATTTTCTTTTATCCTTAGCATTAGTGTGTTTTTTCGTCCTTAGATTCGGTGAAGTTTGACTGTGCATTGCTTTATTTTGTTCTGTATTTTGTTTAATCCATCCTCCTCCACTTTAATGTTATTCGTTAAATCATTATTGATTGATCTGCATAAAAAAAATATTACATTTTATATATAAATAAATTTTATATAAATAATTGTAAATTAATTAATAATATAATTATTATAAATTTTAGATTTTACCTGATGTCAAATATTGCACCATTAAGATTCGACAAATCGTCATCGTTAGCTTTAGTGTAATCTGCATCGCATTCTCTTATCATATTTTCTACATTTTGTTTTAGATCTTCAAGTTCTGTGCGAATCTTTTCGCATTCTTTTTGATGATTACTAAGTTCCTTCATCAAATTATCTTTAGACTTTAAGAAAAAGAAAATTTGCGTTATTTATAATTTGTTATAAATAAACAGAGAATAATTGCGCAGACTTTGGCAGAATGTAATTTATTTTGCAATCATTGAAAGTTTTCTTTGCTGAAATATACATCTTTGGATAAATTAAGAAAACTTTTTAAGAATAATATGACGCAATAATAACACTATAATATTATATAATAACGTTTCTCTAAATGCAGATCCAACCCGCATTCATCTTTAGACATTACGAGCATCACGTTTATCACAATCATTAAGCTTTTTCTAAATTAATTAATTAAAAATAAATAATCTCTAATATTTAAGATTTTATAGAAAATCATATTAACATTTTTTTTACAGAGACACAAAAATTTTAACTTAAAAAGAAAAATGTTTAATAAATTAAATGTTTTAATAAATTAAATTTGAAAAATAATTAAATTAAGTTTTGTAACTTTTTATTTAACTTTTAATTTATTACTATAGTTATTACTCAACCCTGAAAATTAATATTAAGAATCATTAAGAATCATACGTAGTTTATCCACTGACAAAAGTTATCCACATATCTTTTTGTTTCCGACAAACAGTTATTCCTGAAATGAAATAATCACTCAAAGCAATTTTCTTCGCAGAAACCTCTTTCACATTTTTTTCGATCGAATAAATTTTTTATTTGATGTTGATTGAAATATTTAAGAATAATTGTAAGTTTTACCATTGCTTATGCAACATATTCGCTCTTGCAATTTGTAAGTCTTCCAATTCTTGCTTCTTCGCATTATAGATCCCTGTATTCTCTGATACTTTCTCTTCTAAATCAGACACATTCTGCGTTAACTTGTCGAAATTCATTCCGATGCTGTTATTACTCTCGAGCAATTTTGACTTTTGATTCTTCCAGTATTGTATTTCTTTATCAGATTTGTCCTTCAATTTTCTTAATGTTGTAAACTGAAATATCAATTTTCTCAGCTTTTATAAATAATATTATAAAAAAG